GCACGAAGACAACAGAGGCACAAACACAGTAGAGGCAGATGCACGAACACAGTAGAGGCACGCAGTAAAGGCACGAACACGACAGAGCACACGGCACAAACACAGTAGAGGCAGATGCACGAACACAGTAGAGGCACAAACACGATAGAGCACACAGCGGAACACGGCAAAGGCACAGACACAAGAACCCTAAAAGAAATTAGGGCACACAGTAGAACACGGGTGGGCACAACACACACAGGTCACCAGAAAGTCGGCTCTAATACCAAGTCAAACAATATGGTAGAATATTTTCAGATATATTTCATTCTCCGAAAGGAGGTATTTATAATACAGGTTACAAACCCTAGTAGGGTTTAATTAGGAAATAAGTGGAATCCTAATTACATAATATCTACACAAAAGGAAAAATAAATAAAACCCAAATAGAATAGGATATGCTCTACTCGCCAACACAATCATGCCATGAAATCGATTGGACCCCAAAATGAGAGCCCTTAATGCTGGAAGTGCTCCTAACCAAGATGGGAAGATGTCGCTTATCTGATTGTTTTCAAGATTAAGAAACTCTAATTGAGTGCAATTGGCCATTGATCTTGGTATCTTCCCCTGTAACTGATTGTAACTTAAATCAACCATTTTCAAACTATTGTTATCTGGACACATTTGAGGAATACTGCCATGAAAAGAATTGTTCGTCAGCATCAATATTCCAAGAGCACTGGAGTTCCCCAAACATTGTGGAGGCATGCCACTCAGGTTGTTGTTGGACAAATCAAGAATCAGCAAATGATTCAAGTTGCAGAACGATGGTGAAATTTCTCCACTATAATGATTGCTGCCGACCATATAGTTTTTGATTGATTGTGGTGGAATTGGCAGTGATCCTTGTAACATATTGGTCTGGAGATCTAAATCATATAGATTCTGCCATGGAAGATTGATTGGATTTTGGTCAAACTCAAATCCCGTTAAGAAGTTGGAAGAGAGGCTGAGAGTCAACAAAGTTTCTCTAGTTGCATTCCACACCCATTTTGGTAACTCTTGCAATTCGGATTGATATTTTAAAATTTCTGGAAACTCTGTTAAGTTGCATGAAATCAACTTGGTAGCACTCAAATTGGTTATGATCTGCAGAGATAACTTGTTGTATGATAATTGAAGTTCCTTTAACTTTTTGGGCTGGGAAAACTGATCAAACTCAACTTGTCCACTCAAGCTATTAGAGGAAAGGTCAAGAAATTCAAGATTTTTGAGCTGGAAGAGTGACCTAGGAATTGCTCCTTGCAAATTGTTACGCCAGAGGTATAGAGTAGTTAACTGGGTCAAATTCATAAGCCAAGATGGGATTTGACCAGTTATTCCGTTACTACCCAAGCCTAGATATGAAAGTTGCGTGAGGTTAGCCACAAAACTTGGGAATTTTCCCCTGAATTTGGTGGACGCAAGGGACAAACTGTAGAGGTTGGTTAAACTTGCTATCCAAGACAAGGAATATTCAGAAACTAATTGGCCTGTGGAATTATTATTTGGAATGTCATAAAATGAAGTCATGTAAAGGGAGTTGAGCTGGGTAAGGTTTCCTAGTGAAGATGGAACAAGGGAGTAAAAATGACAGTCAGAGATGTCCAACAAATTTAAGGCATGAAGGTTTCCCATAGAAGCAGGCAGCATACCAGAGAAATTTGTGGCCCAAACATTCAATTCCTTGAGGGCATTGCTCCGGTTAAAGTTAGGAAAATAACCACTAAGGTTTGAGTAGGTGGAAGATGCCAATTGGGAATTCCCCATTCAACTCACAATCGCCAAGTTTGAGAGATGTGAGAGAAGATGCATTGACCAAGATATCAGGCACAGTGAAGTGCATCTTTACCCAATTAAGATGAAGTTGTTTTATGTTGGTCAAGTTTTGAACGAGGCTTCTCAGGTTGCCCTTGGTCAGTTTCAAAGGGAAAATATCAGGATAAACTTTCCGAAAATTGAAATACAAATCAAGGGTAGACAGCTTCGATAGCTTTGAAATTTCTGATGGAATTTCTCCGGAAAACAAGGAATTTGAAAGGTTGAGATATGTTAGACTCGAAAGATCACCACCGAACCTTGATGGTATTTGAGAGAAATTGAAGTGATTATCTGAGAGTTCAAGCCTCTGCAAGTGAACAAGGCGGAAGAGAGTGTTGCTGGAATTGATAGAACCGTAGAGACAGCTGCTACGGAGATCAAGGCCGACAACATGGCCAAAGTCTTCATCACACTCAACACCATCCCATGAAGAACAATTACTCCGATTCCCATCTCCTTCTCGCGTCCAAAATGAAAGCAAGAGGATCTGTAGAAACAAACTTGTTAATTGCAAAGCTTTCCTTGAACTGCAGCTAGGCTGAGCACTCATCAACCTGGCCGACTGTCCGAGTCTGCACAAATAAAAAACAGTGTGTAGCAATGTGTGACAGAAAAATAAAACAGCGTAGAGAAATGAACTTCGACCGCCACGATTCCATTCCCATTGCAATTTTGTTTTCCAATTATGTATGCTTAATTATGGCTCTCAGACAATTAAGGGTGGAGAAATTATAAACTCCTTTTATAGACGCTCAACTCATGAAAAACGTAGTTGCGACTAGAGAAAGTATAAAAAAGTGAAGAAAAAAAAGAATCGAAAAAAAAGTAAGGGAATCAAAGAGAAGAAGCCAAGAAGATGAACAAAAGTTCATCGTCTTCAAAGTCTTCCAAAGCTAACCATTCAAAGTCGTCTTAAAGCCGGTTCTAACTTCTACCAGAGAAGTATGTCTTATTAATTTCTTTCGCGCTTTCAACAACTAAATCAACTGAGTACACATCCACAAGTAATCTTCAGTTGTGTGGTTTTTTCGTTTGTTTTGTTCTTTTGGTGATTTTGCTTCCTGTTCTTGTTTTTAGTTCTTTGGTATGTTGTGTCTGTCCTGTTTGTTTGATTGGGTTTGGCTCCCCTTTGGGTCTTTGCCAGTTGGCTTTTATGAGATCTTCGTTGACCCAAAAAAACTTTTAGGTCAAATCGTATTCCTGTCATATCTACGCAAAATATGTCAAATTTAGTTCAGTTTAAAACTGATAAGAGTGCTACTATGTCAAATTTAGTTGTCTAGTTACAACTACGTTTTTCATTGAGGTGATTCCCTCTAAAATTTTGTCTGTAATTAATCATCCGTTTTATTATTAAAATTCATTAATAGATATAGTCAACAATGAGTTGGCTGGAAAGGGCTTATAACCGAACAATGAGTTAACCAGTTCCATGTATGTCGTCTGATTTATGTGATATGACAACCGAAAAGTAAAATGCAAGTAAGAAGATGATTGGATGATTACAATGAAGGGGACACAAGGCAGGCATCGATTTTTCTTTCAACTATGGAACCGTAGACCTTTGAATAAATTGAAAATTTCGAGTTATTTTTCTCTATTTATTTTTTCATCCAAACAAAGGATAGTGCAATATAAATATTATAATTAGACTTTGAAAGTGATGCCTCCTCTTTCCCATGATCATCAAAGCACATGCACCAACTAGTGGTTAATATATGGCCTGGAGACCAAGACCAACCATATGCATGTAATCCACACACCTAATTAAGACTAATTGCATCAAATTAAATTGTGTTTTGGATAATTAACCTCTACATTGTAATTATGTGGACATGATTATAAAAACAAAACAAAACAAAAATACAAGTTGAGGACATAATTATATATGTATATATTTGAAAGGGACAAAGGGCGGTGTGATCGTGACTAATGAATTTAATGTAACAAAAGTGAAACTATAAATGCACATGTGAGAATTTGATACATACAAAATATATATGGCTGGAGATGCAGGTTCTACGCCAGCTATGTGCTATCTATAGCGAGTGGAAAGAGCAAAGTCCCTTTCGTGGGAGCAGGAAGAAAGATGATGTATGCTTTACCAATAGTTGAGACCCAATCGGGAAATGTTTCGTCTTATATTCCTACTAATGTAATTTCTATTACAGACGGACAAATATTCTTATCTGTCAATCTATTTAATGATGGAATCAGATCGCAGCTCAAATTATGTTTCCAGGGTAGGATCCGCAGCTCAAATTAAAGCCATGAGGTCATATCTCTTAACCATTTGATCAAACTAACCAATTTGATCCAACAGCTAACCAATTTGATCTAATAGCTAAGAGATCATCTAAGGGCCTTAGATATAAGGCCCTCACTATAGAATTCTTATATAGCAAGGCACGGTTTTTGGGTGGAACCGATTGGGAGAGAGAGAATGTTATTGAGTGTTGATTGTGGTTATGTCAAGTTTGAGATTTCGAATAATGGAACAGAATGGGCCTTGTTTGGTGGATCAAGTAAATGGTGATGTTGAGAATGATTAAAAGTGAGTTAAGTTTTATGTACTCCATTTTCGTTTCAACCCAATTTATATATTGTCCGGTTGGAAGCTTACCACCGCACCACTAACATTATCAAACTAAATTACTAACTTTTGTCCAAGGCAAGCTTATTTGTTTCTTTTCCCCTACAACTATAAGCTTTTTCTTTGAAAGAGCCATCAATTAGTTGCAAACGATGTTTTCATGCAACTTCTACTGTGTATATTATTTAGCTGGTGAGACTAATTAATATTTGTAAAAGTTATAGACATCTTACATGTCAGAAAGATGATACAAATTTGAAAAATAGTATGGTTGTATATATTCGCATGACTTGTGGACTTGCATTTACTTTTCTTACACGCCAAGAATTCCTATATTAAATGTAATTGATTTACTTTAATTCATGATTTCCTACTGTAAATAGAATTATGAGTTATTACGTTCCTTAACCTACAATGATATATATTGTACTATAAATATGGCCTCTTACAAGGAGAAGAATATACAGAAAATTCCCACAAACAATATTCTCTCATAAATTCTCATATTTTAGCATGGTATACCCAACCCCGACTATTACCTATGAAGCTTCCGCACATATTGGAATCAAGTTGGATGGCTCCAACTACCCCCTTTGGTCCCAAGTTGTCGAGATGTATGTTGCCGGCAAAGACAAGTTGGGACACCTACTTAGACCGACCCGAGTTTCAACCGCTGGCGCACCCAGAATGCAGTTGTGAAAGGCCAGTTAATCAATTCTTTGGACCCTCGCTTGATTAGCACCTTTATTCGATTTCCGATGGCAAAAGCAATATGGGATGCGATTTCCATGATCTTCTTTAATGGCACGTACACCCCTCAGGTGTACGACCTTAAACAGCAAATTCACCGGTTGCGACAAACAAGTGGCTCGATTGAAACTTATTACAACAATCTCCAAGGCTTGTGGCAAGAAATAAACTTTCGTCATCCAAAAAGGATGAAGTGTGGCTCTGATATCCATGAGTACGACATTCTCCAGGAAGACCGTGTTTATATCTTCTTGGATGACTTGGATGACCGACTTGACGAGGCCCGAAGTGATGTCTTTTAGATGGCTCTGTTTCCCATCGAGGAGCAGGAATATGCTTATGTCTGACGCAAAGATCTCTGACAAGCTGTGATGATGGGTACTCAGGCACCAACTGCGGCTGGTTTGGCGGCCAAGGGAACTCACCAACCAGTCGATCACATCTAGGTGACCTGTTAGCCTAGACAGATGCCTTCTTCTATCATTGTGCCACTTCATATGCAGTCCTATGTCACAGCTGTTGGCTCACCTTCAAGCCCGACTGCACAACCTCCTCGACCAAGGGCTATGACCAACGTGAATGGATGCACTCATTGTGGCAACCCAAAACACACTCGGGAAACTTGTTTTAAATCTCATGGGAATCCCAATTGGTGGCACACTAGCCTAACCAACATTCGCAAAGAAGAAAGAATGATTAATAGGCGCATAAAAAATGCAAATTATGGTAGATAACAAATGTTCGAGGATTTTTTTTTCTTTTTCTTTTTAAGAAGAGTCTATTTAAATTTAACACATTACTTGAATAATCTTTCTTCTTTTGAAGTTTTTTACTTTTATTCTTGCATATAAAAAATTAAAAACATAAGAATATACAAATCACCCAACCCCTTCCTGGGTAGCACGCCACAGGTCGAGGTGGTCTTTCATAAAGAAATAAATAAATAAAGAGACTAATTGAGTAAATTTGGTTTGAAAAAAATAAATCCAAAGCTTCATATTCCAATAACTTTCTTTTTCAATCAAATAAAACTTTTTTTAAACATCTCTCTACTATTTCTTTCCCATGAATAACAACAGTACATTAATCTAAATCCATAATACTTGTATACAAAAGATAACATCTATACTATAGCATATGTGTAGTCCACCACCACCCACCATTCCAATTAAGCATGGAAGGGGCGCTCTGCAGATTATTTTCATCTAAATTCCTACTAATTTCTTTTAATCATCTCTTTAAGATGCAATTAAATCACCTTAAAGCTGCAGCAAATTAAACTGTAGTCTTTCCACAAACAGGTGGAAAAATTTGGCCTGTCATAGTAGGCTTGACGTTAGTACATACAGATGTGGCAGCACTATTTTTCCCATTGTATGTCAAATGGATGTCACTAATTTGCACATTCTGGCATGGAATGCCTTTACTACAAGCAAGCACACATTGTTTATCTTAACTTTCGACGGGATTTTTGGTTGGCATTGGCCATTTGGACAGTATTCTTAGTCTATAAGAACTAGGGGTGTGCATCGGGACCTGAAAACCGGAACACCGAACTGGACCGGATGAAAAAAAGGGAAAGATGGGTAAAAAGATGGTACCCAACAACCCTCCAGTTGCCAAAAACCTGGCTCAACACTGTGAAAAGGAGGACCAAAGCTATAGACCTAGGTGAAGAGCCACCTAGGCCAAATCTTTGGACAATGGTCGTCTTCTCATGAAGGTAAAGCTTGAGATCACGAAACGAAAGACGGATGGGGCATGAGGAAAGCCACCTCCACCGTGACCGCCAACCCCAACGAAGCAACTTGCACCATAGTCGTCGTTGACTTGGAGACTGTTGGCACAATAGCAGTAGCAGACCCGCTGAAACCATCATACTAAGGCAACTGCCAGAAACGCTGACACACCGAAGAGAAAGTGAACGACGAAACCAACACCCAGGATATGAGAGAGACAACAAGGGGGCCAGCACCCCAGAATCGAAGAGAGGAGTGATGGCAGTGACTCGACGTGGAAGAGAAATAGCAGCGAATTAACGTGGAAGAGAAACTGATGCGACTCGATGTGGAAGAGAAACAACAATGACTCAATGTGGAAGAAAAGTGACTCGACCTGGTCAAGTCGAGGAGGGCGACGACAGCTGAACGTGGATGAAAACGAGCGTTGTTAGGCCGATGAGGGGATGACGGTTGAATGTGAAAAACCCAAACCCTAATTTTTGACGCACATCTCTCTTTGCTTGCGAGTAATTTAATTTGTGATTTTTGGATACTCTTTTTCAGGTGTTCGAAAATCTACATCAACCGGTCTATGTGGATTCCATCTGTGTTTAGGCTTTCACTAGGGGAGGTGTTGATCACATGTTGAAGTGTCACATTTTTTCAGTTTAAGACATTTATGTGAAATAGATTGCTGTTCAAAGATGTTATGTCTTGAATGTGCGAATTGGTGAGCCCTGTGAATCTTATGTCTGCATTCAAGGAACCCAATTGAGCAAATTCTATTTATTAGCCTCCGTTTCTAGCTCACAAGAAATTGATCAAAAAAACATGCACTTCAAATTTAAAAGACTTACTATAGGCAGTGAGTTGCATATTCTAGTTTTGGTACAATCATTTTTGGATTAAGCTATTGATCCTTGGCCATCAAAAGTGCCACCTCCTGAGACTATTAACCCATCAATATTTTGGAAAACAACCCAACCATCTTGTGACTTGAGCTTTTCTAGCTCTGCAAGAGCCTGCAGGGTTCCTTCAACCCGAACGCTAACCGGTGCTTTACAGGGCCCTTGAAACTTCACTGGACCAGCCATGTAGTTTCCTTTTGCTATCACAACCGTGTTTGTAGTTGTGCATGCGTATGCATCTTTCCAAGAACTATTAATAGCCTAAAATCGATAGCATACTCAAAAGGTTACTAAGATCACTACTACAAAAAGGGCAAAAGACGACCAGAAAAAGACGACTGTAGAACAAAAAACCGTCGTTGTTTTAAAAAAGACGACGGTAATAAAAAACCGTCGTGGATAAGTGACTTAAACAACTAAAAAATGGAGATACTGTTGAGAATTTTTTTATAACGACGCACACAAATAAAAAAGCGTCGTCTTATTAAAAAGCTTTTCTTCAGAGTTAAAATCTGACCAAAAAACAACGACAGCAGGTATGACAAGCATCGTCTTTTAAAAATCAAGTGTCCTTTTTTTGGTAAAGACATGGTTGTTTTGAAAGAACTGTCGTCTATTATAAGTAAAGACGACGGTTTTTTTATAAAACGGGTCGTCTATTATATTTAAAGACGACGGTTTTTTTATAAAAAAGGTTCGTCTATTATATGTAAAGACGACGGTTTTTTTGTAAAAATGGTCGTCTATTATTAAGTAAAGACGACGGTTTTTTTATAAAAATGGTCGTCTTTACTTCATCATAGACGACGGTTTTTTTATAAAAAGGGTCGTCTATTATGAAGTAAAGATGACGGTTTTTTTTTTAAAAAGGGTCGTCTATTATGAAAAGATGACGGTTTGTTTTTAAAAAGGGTCGTCTATTGTGAAGTAAAGATGATGGTTTTTTAAAAACAAGATTTAACGGTTATTTCAACTCTGATTTTGATATTTTTTACAGCTACACTCCTTGACCCTATATGAATACAATGACTGCATTCGATCGTCAATTTAAAATATTTACACTAGTGGATACCACAAAATCTTATGCTATAATTAATAAAAGTATAAATAAACTCTTAATTGTTACTGAATATATTGTTTTGATGGCATACGCATTCTACGAAACTAATTTCAACGATCCAACCGTCAAACTTGTTTGTTTACACATCGTGATCATATACGCCAAAAATCATGGCATATGTATTCTATGAAACTATTTTCAACGATCCAACCGTCAAACTTGTTTGTTTATAATTCGAGATCATATACGCCAAAATTCAGAAAAAATAAACATTAAGAGATCAAGTAATGGGACAAAACATTTCGACGGTTATAAAAGAAAACTCAAGATTTAACGGTTATTTCAACTCTGATTTTGATGATTTTTTTATAGCTACACTCCTTGACCCTATATGAATACAATGACTGCATTCGATCTTCAATTTAAAATATTTACACTAGTGGATACCACAAAGTCTTATGTTATATTTAATAAAAGTATAAATAAACTCTTGATTGTTAGTGAATATATTGTTTTGATGGCATATGCATTCTACGAAACTAGTTTCAACGATCCAACCGTCAAACTTGTTTGTTTACACATCGAGATCATATACGCCAAAAATTGGAAAAAAATAAATAAATCAGAGATTAAGTAATGGGACAAAACATTTTGACGGTTATAAACGAAAAATCAAGATTTAACGATTATTTCAACTCTGATTTTGATGATTTTTTACAGCTACACTCCTTGACCCTATATGAATACAATGACCGCATTCGATCGTCAATTTAAAATATTTACACTAGTGGATACCACAAAATCTTATGCTATAATTAATAAAAGTATAAATAAACTCTTAATTGTTACTGAATATATTGTTTTGATGGCATACGCATTCTACGAAACTAATTTCAACGATCCAACCGTCAAACCTGTTTGTTTACACATCGAGATCATATACGCCAAAAATCGGAAAAATAAATAAATTAGAGATCAAGTAACGGGACAAAATATTTTGACGGTTATAAACGAAAAATCAAGATTTAACGATTATTTTAACTCCGATTTTGATGATTTTTTACAGCTACACTCCTTGACCCTATATGAATACAATGACTCAAT